TTATCTTGCTGTGTCCACCCCATGACCAAACGGAGCTAAAGTTTAATTTATACGCCACCACTTCGAACGCGGTGGTGGTGCATTGTCACATCCTATACATTACATCGTTCTGTTATCAACAGTAGTCGTTAATTTGAAACACCGAGAAAAGCGAAAATTAAAAGGCGGAATGCCTTTGTAAAATTATTTACATAGATTTGTTTAAGATTGGCGAATAGTACTGTCCTTTGTATACGGCAAATTATAACAAATATGTACATTTTGTGTATAGCACCTAATCACGAATATAACGTGTAATACTCGAAACATCGATCAACTTTCTTGTTGTTTTTGAGTTTTCTCACCATACAGACACACGCTCCTTTCATTTGATAACTTGGCAGATTTACGTCAGCAAATGGGGGTGTAGTATCAGGCAGCGGTGCGAATTTCCCCAGTAATGTGTATAGATATACTTCAATTCTTACTTTTGGTATAGAATGATATTATACCTATATGTATTATTATAGACGTTAGTACATCCGTACGAACAGTCCCGACGTGAAGAAGGACTTGTTAGAATTACTCATCGTTAGACGATATACTTATACGTATGTACGTATTCATCCGTTCGCTACCTGAACCTTCCCGAATTTATTTCTTTGAAGGGGACTTGCCTGATATCTTTTTTCGTTTTCTATTTGTTAAATTCGATTCCAATAGAGAAGAAGAGTTCGTACAGGACAACGCATTTCCTTAACAAAAGATTTTGAAAGACGTGTAGTAGAATGCAAGGGGTACATCACGTAGACAACACAACGCAGCCCAACCCCTTAACTGCTCAAGATTTATTGGTTAATCGTTGCATATTTACTTACCTTACTTACCACTGACGTACATATTTTATTTTTGGTTATATGCTTTTGATGATGATTAAAAAAAATATAAATGTGCGATACATCACAACCGACTGCTGTTTTTATTAAATTTCTACTCGAGAATTTCTTCTCACAAATAATATCGCCAACGTTTACTAATCCAACTTCAAATAGCCTTCGATTACATTAATTTATAATCAGAATAATTGCGTAACTATAGTGCGTATTTATGTACTTGTAAATATAATTTAATTTTCATCCTTTGTAATTACTTACCTATCGGGTAGCCCGTTGAAAGCCCAGAAAAAGAAACTGAAACAGATTTATGCAGGTCTGGAATAGGTGCATAGTGAATGCAGGTACATAAGGAATACACATAACTTATGTATGTACATTCTAGGTTATACTTACTTATACATGTTTCGGAAAGGTAGGTACCTTATAATTTTTATTTGTTTCAACGAACTTATTCGGGTAGCCGGACATAACAATACAGTTAAATTTATGCCCGATATTGTTACAAGAATCCCTTGTATCCTCTGCTGACCAGAAGCTAGCTACTACCTTACCTGGCTTTTTTTTAAGCCCAATCGGAAATGTCCGATTTGATCTAGGTTGTATTAACTCTACAAAAGATTACATTTCAATTCAACTTAGTAGAAGATCCGTTTAACGAACATTAAAATGTAACTGGACTGGTATTTTCTGTTATTTAAAAATAGAATGCGTTATTCTCTTATGATAGGAACAGGATAAAATAATACCTTATTATTACATGCTGAACATGCATTTTACACCGAACGATTATAATGTTGTACCATATGTTCCTACTAATGTTTACGATATTGGATACTCAAGATATCTACTCGATAATGATATACTGCATCAAAAGGTCCAGGATTAACGATTCTCCTTCTTCAATGAAAACCTGGCTAGGTTCGCGCTCCCTGAGGATGACCGCGCCAATCGCAGCTGTTAGGGAAACGTCGGATAAACGACTCCATCGATGTTCGCGCCAAAGAAGGAGAATCAATTCTAGACCACGACGATAATGCCCGAATATCGAGCACTATATAGGTAACGCCGGCCTTACAAAACCAATTACCACTTTTCCTTAATTCTCTTTTACCCTATGTGACTCTTCTTTTTATTAAGCCCCATTAATTTACATGTTTAAACAATAAACTGCATTTAAAACAAAAAGAACGTACCGCAATTAGCCACAACTCTTTCAATGGGTTCGTGTTCGGCTCACAATGTAAACAGGTGATTAATATTTTTTTTATTCATGGCGATTAGACAATATGTAAAAAATACGTAAGGACCAATGTTTTGATACAATGAGATGATAATTTTTTTATCTGGGGGATAATTGTAAATACATGTTACCGCATAATATTATTATGTGCGATGAACAGATCACAGCTTGGCTCCGATCCGATCCTTTCTTCGAAGTTTCAACGACTAATCAAAAGAGAGGAATAAGCTGGACAAAAAGACGAGGAACCGTCGAACAATCGTACAGAGAGAGTGCATTATTGTGACATGCAAGTGGTGTCAAAGATTTTTTTAAAATATACGATAATGTAATTAGCGTAAATTTTAGGTAAAATTAAAATAAAAAGTAATAAAGAAAGCAATCAACTACGGCAACTTCTTTACAAAAAAGGATTCGGCGGGCAGACTTATTAAATTCGCGGGCCAAGGTCACTGCTATGCATCCGCCGAAGAAAAAGAACCAAGGTCGAAATGCGTCTATTTCCAACAGAAATGATCACCTTCTTGTAAATACATATATTATTGCTAATTACCATTAACACCATACGTAAATGATTGTACGGCGATTTATCTATCGTATTATAAGAACAATACCTTTGTAACACCTGAACAGTATCTGCACATATGTACGAATACTGAAGATTCCATTCTTTTAAATAAGTAATTAAAAAATGAACGTTCCAAGATTTGAACATTACAAATTAAAAAATGTAATATGGTAATTTTTTATGAACGGGCCAACTCCAGTTATAGGTAATATGTGTGCCAATAGCCAACGATTTCTATTTTTCTAAGAACGTTGTATCAGGTTCAAGAAGTTAGCTCCGTCTCAAGGTTGATGTGTCTTTTTTGTGTTATTTGCAAATTTGGCAGACGAGTTTAAATTTCCTTCGGTATGTTAACGAGTTTCGGATTTTTAATTCGTTTTGTTTAGAAGATGCCGTGGTGCAACTCGGCTCTTTGTTCAATCGAACCATTGTAGGTACTGTTAGGTATTTATGTTTGTATATTCTTTTGAGACTTTGGAAACATATACATACCCATTTACGTGTATGTAAATTTGTGACATAAGTATCATATACAGGATACCCAGCGATCGGTATGGCGATTCAAAACTTGAAGAAAACCCTCCGATTTTCTGCTTTTTCAAAGTTACGATTTTTTTTTTTCATAATTTTTGCCCACCTTTCTAACTAGAATTGTGGTAAGTCGTTAATGGAACCTGCGAATGTGTCAGATAGTGGACGAAAAACGAATACGTACCTAGGTTCAATTACATATAACGTACTCTCGGAAGTTACTTCGATAGGTATTGAGATCCGCAGTCACCGTACTAGCGGCTTTGGTCTATAAGGCTGGAACGCCTTGTACCTATTATTTTCGTTAAGTATTACAGGATGAATTAATATAACCAATTAGATAGTTACTCTTCGACGTATGATTGATAAATCACATTATATTTTCAATCTAAAAAGAGACATTAAAAAAACGAATTAAAAGTCCCAACCTCCCCCCAACATTATTTACGACTTATTGTGAAGCTTTCTTAAATCTTTCATTTAGAATTTTTTGTTTTCCATTCATAGGTAACTTACATGTATGTATGTATGTATTGTGAACGTATACTAGACATACATATTTATGTACATTCTCATAAATACAGTGTAATAGAATGGTAACTGTAACGGTATTTAACCCAACCGACCCGTTTACATCCATATTTTCCATTGGGCAGGTATAAGTCAAAAATAATACATTATTCAAAAGTGCAGTTATACAAATTTTGTCGCAAGACCAGCGGAGCGACAAGTATTCAAATTGTAATTAAACTTGTATATCCATTTCCATCTTTCCATCAACCCTAAATCGTATATGTACCGGTCCGGTCAGTAACCACGGGTCAAGGGACCACTAGTTTTTAAATGCTTTAGCAGGTAGATGGGTGTACTCGACTTAACCCTTGCCCCGTGAAGGTCCCATCTTAAATTGATTCCCCCTATTTAATTTTCTTTTAGACGACCGACAGACCCCCTTTTTTTATTTCCGTGTTCCTGAACTACTCTACATATCTAATAAAAACGCATAAAATAAAAAATGAAACGTAAAACGTTAAGAAATCCGTTTCAGAAAATTAATCAATATTTTAATGAATTCACTTCGGACAACGAAAGATTTTTTAAATTTCTTGTTTGCACTGCGTTAGAATTGCCTGTTGCCAACGTTTCGATCTTGATCGCGTGAAATATCTTCAAGGCTCTTCCGCTCTCGACAGATGGTTTGAAAAAAAATAACATCTGACGCGACGCAAACCCAGAATCTTGAATTTTTACAATTTTATAATACTTAATACAGTTTAACTCGTTTCAAATTTTTAAAAATTATTTTCATTACTGCGAGCTACGGCATCAACTTTTATCTATATTTCGCCTTTTGGTGTAGACTTCACAATATAGCTTCACAACAAAGGGCATTTTTGAGTGTCCTCTAAAATAAAGCGGAGAAATAGATATTGCCAGAGCTAATAAATATAATGTACATAATGTAACGGTCCCTATACTGTTCTTAATACGTATTTATTTTTACTAAAACTGTTGATAATTTTTTTAACCCGTATAAATATATGAGCACTATTTCGGACTAAACAACTACTTTGATACGTATGGACATAGCGGACATAGTCAACGGAAATTAAAAATATTAACGATTTAAGAAAAGTATATTATTCAGCACCTACAAAATAAGACTTCAGAATTAGGGCGAACACAATTTTTACACAAAATAACTTACTTGGAAGGGTTTTAACAATAAATGTTTATTATTATTCAATGCTGTTATCTACTGCAAATTTGTTCGAATGATTTATTTTAAAAAATTACGTGTTTACTTACACGTCTCCGTAAAAAATATTTATTACCGAGATACTTTAAAGTTCGTAATAGAAATACAATAGAGGCCGGTGCACACGGATGCAAATTATGCGCTTACAATTAGACGTGTAACGTTCGGTAAAATACATACAACAGACAGAGCGTCGTTACAGCAATTTATGGGTACAAACGGAAACGGGCGTTGATTGACACTGAACAATCTCCTAAAATAATCGGAAAATTATTAAAAATTTTTGCAGAATCCCCTCCAAGACGTGGAAATAAGCAGCAAAAAATGTTTATAGGATGTTTCCGGTTCTTCGGTGTAAATCTAAACGACTTCATCGAGTTGAACTGAACGCACCGTACACTGCGCATACTTCAACGACCGTGTGCACCGTTACTTAAATTTTTTTTATCTACACGGCGCACTATAAAAAAATAGCTTAATATCAGAAGTAAATTATTAATTATACAATATCATATTTGAAATTAAAAAATATACATACACATTAATTTAATTAGATTATATTTGTTTATCGTTAAAGATTTTAATTTGAACTGAATTACCTTGTATAATAAAATAATCAAATGGAGTAAACTCTATGTATAGAGGTACTGGGAAATAAAATAACTTATAGCAACAGTAAGAAAATACCAGTCAAAGTAAAACTTTTAGTCACTAGATATTAAACAATAATATTTACAGGTTTTTAAAATGTTTTTCAAAATAATAGCGATAAGTTTGAAGAAGAAATAATAATTTACAAAAAAGCACCGCTGTTTCTTCATAATATTATAAATATCGACGACTTACATTCTATGTTTATTAACATGTACGTACGTATGTATGTATCGTATATACAAAAGTAGTAAAAGGTATAGAAATTGATACATTTAATATATGTATGTACCTATATATATATATATATATGTATATGTATTATAAATGGCACAATTTTATTTTGCGTGGATTACAAATATCTAACATCACAATTCATTTTTTATATGTATATCAGCAAGTACGTGTATAATAATAAATGCAGGAAAACCATTTGAAAAGGCAGTAGTAGTAAGCTTTTGCGAGTTTCTCTACTTAAGGACAGTTTTGGGCGTAATGTTACACATGCTCCAAGCATTACCATAAGAAATGTCACATCACAAGTTGTACAATCAATGCAAAAGTAACAGAATAACACATTCACTTACCCCGTTATGAACCTATCTAGTTTTGAAAATCGATAAACTAATGTTAAAAAGAAAAATAATTTACTTAGTTCTACGTAAACAAATAATTCATTCTCAATTCATAAAACAGTAACAGATTCTATCAATTAATAAGGTGTCACATTTAATTGTACGTATCCATTGATTGCACTGATTAGTTTTTCTACAATATCATTTTTTACTTGACACTAATTAATTAATGGAGTCGCGGTGTAGTTAATTGAGTCGTTTCGCTTCGTTTGGGTGGTGGTGGAGGCGGTCTTTTATTCCTAATTATAGAATCACACATCTTAACTTCTTTACGAACATTATGATTAATTGTATTATTGGTCGCGTATTCTGTCACGTTTTGCGAACTATCTCTGTAAACGTTCTCGTAAAAATTATAACCACCGTAGTGTTCTTTAACCCATTTCGAAACGCTCGACTCCTTGTAATCAGGTAGGAACTGAGGAGGAGGATCTCTAAATCCTAACACTTCATGAGGCGTCGTTGTGGGCTCCAATTTGCACTTTTGTGCCACTTGCCACTTCTTCTTCATAACCCTTTGTAAATCTTTAAGGAAATCGGTTGGAGGTTCCACCAATTTCTTTGGACTTGATAATCTTGTAGTTTCGGATCTTTTCGGGGGCGGCGGCTTCTTAGGTAGCAGCAATGGCGCCTCTTGCGAGGGTATACTGAAGCCGATGACCCTTTTGTTGGCCTTCTTGGGAGTATAGAACTCTTGAAAACACACCTTCTTTTGTGGAGTTGGCGAGTTCGTGTTAAGTGTGGGGCGTGTTATTATATTATTCGTTGAGATTTGTTTATTTACCGAGGGTGGTAATGCAGTCGCGGCACTCTGTCTCAAGGATGATCGTAAATTAATCGAATTATTGTCAAGTTGCAGTGGCAAAGTTCCACCACTCTGTTTCAGCAGTTGAGCGTACAATTTTTCGTTTTGTTCGCTATCTTCATTTTTAGAAACGTATTTGTTGTCGGACATTGAAACTACTTTAGGCGAATCCTGTTGATCATTAGGCTTTGTTTTCAACATAGTATCAGTCTGATTGCACTGGTATGAAAGGGTCAGTCTTGAACTTAACGGGGGCACTTTCCGTAACGAATTGCCCATATCACAATTTTCGGTCGGTGGAGGCGGCAACGACATCAAGGATAACTGACTACCGGTCAAATCGACTACCTCGAGGACGAGCGGCAGTTCTAACGGATTCGGAGGTGGCGGTAAACTATCAAGTGACAAGTTTGAACTGTACACTTCCGGAGGCGGCGGAGGTAACTGGTATGTCGACGACGTTTCGACCATAGAGTAGTTGTCGCACACTTCAGGGGGAGATGGAAGCGATATGATAGAGTCGACCTATACAAAGGAAAAAATACATACGATTTCGGAATTAAATACACAATTTTAATGTTTACCATGGACGTTTGAACTTTTTCTCCGCTTATTAGCGAATTTGGACTCAAAAACTCCTCTTCGGTAAATAAAGGTTTATCACGAATCGGTGTACCGCAAAGGGGTGTGGAATTGTTGCTTCGAATGGATTCCATGGAGCTGGTGGATTTAAAGGATTGTTGCCTCTTTAAAGTGCCACTATTAGACGAATCTTCTGTTGAACTAGATTTTCTCCTACTTTGTCTTCTCGTTAACGTACCTGAATGTTACATTAAATTACAAAAAAAGTCTGTAAACCTTAAAAATTAAAAAAAGTATGTGACAATTTCATACCTGTGTTTGTATATAAAACAGGACTGGAAGAGGGTAACTGATCCTTTTCCACTTCTCTTGTTTCGCCGACTTCTTTTAACTGTCTCGTTATATTTGTCAAAGGCAAAGACGGTTTCATTGACGGTTTACGTTTAATGGTACCTGAATATTTAAAGTATGTTATTTTCCAATAAAAATGGAGAAGAAAACAAAGAAACAAACAAACATATGTATGTAATACGTATAAATACTCACCCATAGGAAATTCAGACTCAAATGCAATTTCACAACTGGATGGGGCACTGTCAGACATGCAACCACTCGAGCTCGAACTACTTGCTCTACTGTGTCTGCCAGAACTGGCCTCACTTGTTGCCGAATAAGTTTCACTCGGAGTTACATATCCTTCGCTACTGCTGTATCTAAAATCGATTAACGAAAAATAATGGAATATTGCCGAGAAATACGATAATTGACCGGTAAGAGCTCAAATCGATAATAAAAAATACATACAATTGTTATTAATAAAAAGGTATATTAAGTACTCAAAACTACTATTACAGATAATTAGATGATAAAAGTTGAGTAGAATGAATTGAACTACCCTTGGGTCGGGGTTGTAGCACTCGATTGGACAGATATCGAGCTCACAGAACAACTTCGCGCATGGGCCAGTTTATCAAGATCCTCTTGGGCTAATTCGTCAACGAGCATTCGATAGTTGTCCATAAGTTGACGGCCATGTTTAGCTACTCGTATTCCGACGACCCACTTTTCTAACGAGTAAAAATCTTCGGCACACAAATATTTAATATATTTTGACGATTTTGGCTCTTGTAGTCGTGGATGTTTAATAGCAAAACAATAATCAGTGGGGGCTTTGTATTTCTTTTTCCACCCTAAACCGTAATACACCTAAGGTAACGACGATCGATTAATAAACCACTTAAAGAACGTTTATTCAAACTTACCTGATTGACATCGAAAGTAGCTAAGCACATTAAATCCTTCGTTGTCTTCGATTTCTCCTTTTGAAAATAATAAAGCCCGGAAGCCCTTAATACGAAGTGATACTTTTTCCAACCTTTTTTCGACTCAGACTTTAGGTAAAGCGGTCCCTCAATATGAGGTATACCTTGATTTCCGGAACGGAAAAAATCTTCCAATAGTAAACTACGCAAGTGTTCGTCATAATCCACGGCATCTTGTTTATCTGTGTTGGTCAGAAGAAAATTTTCCGGATTAATAAAAAGCTTTATTTTGTCCGATCTTTCTGCGAAATATATTTTATTTTTCGAATCTCTGGTCCACACCATCAAATTTTCAACTAACAGCTCGTGATCTTCATATACTCGTTCTGAAATTTAAAAATTTTCTTTATGAGATAATAGTAAAATAAGTAAGACAAACTTAACCCATGTAAAGGTCGGGAAGATGTTCTACAATGGTCCATTTAGGATCCATGTGGACATGATTTTTGTCCGCCAGAAGTCTCGTTATGTAAGCACAAGTCATTTTTTCGTCAACCAAAAGCGATTTTGCCGAACCATCGACAGTAAAGACCTTAACAAACAATTTCTGAATGTTGGCTTCCTTAATTTTCTCCATAGCCATTCGAATTTTTTCGGCCTTCACCTTGGACGCTTCGTCCTATCGAAACGCAACAATTAGCAATTGGGATAATTACTTTAAAAACGGAAATACATTTATGTATATATACCTGGGTACACTGAGCAGGCAGCTGTAAGGTACTTGGTTTCGGACCACTACCTCCACTGCTGGCAGAAGATTCTCCAGACAGCATGGAAACGGTGTCGCTAAATGCAGAATCGTTGTCTGGCGAATCGGTACGTAAGGAAGAATCAGTCTTGTGAATGAGATCAGTTTCTCCAGAGTCCATTTTAATTCTGGGGCCTTCCGAATGTGAGCGAAGGTGAGTTCTTGATTGATGCAACTGCTTCTGAGAGCCTTTAAAGGAAATTTATTAATGTTATTTTACCATCTGTATGATATATATACGTTCCCTTCTCATACCTGATAATTTATTTTTATTGTCAATGCTTTGTTCAAGTTCCTTTTCATATTGACTCTCGAGAGCGCATAATTCGCCAAGAATGGCGTCGAGATCGACGTCTTGAGAATCTTCCAGGTTGGCCATTGAAAATCGATAACTGTCAATTCTAGGAGTACAAATATCGGCATGGGATGGTTTAAGATTATTTGAAGTATTTAAATTGTTTAATCCCTAAAACATTCAACAAGTAACTTTTTACATACGTAACTGTCATTACTTAATATACAATAAACATAATCAGCCTTCATACATGCATATCTGCATTCAAAATTAGTTTTATATTTAATTAAATTAGTTATTCGAGGTATTTCTTATCAGCATATATAAAACTTATAGATAGATAAAAGAACCTACTGGAATAAAAAAAATGTTATATATATCTCCATAAACAAAAACAAAATTATCGTATTTATCTAGTTTCAAATATCATCTCATTGTTTATAATAATTCATAATTAAACATTATCTCCTACAGCTCTACATGGAATTTCCCTTTTGCTTTTAAAAACAATACTTTATTATTACATACTAGTAAAACGCAAAAGAAACATTAAGTAAATAATGCATGTAAAAATTTATTTGTATATAAAACATTCAAATTTGAATTTCCCATTTAGTTGTTACTATAAGTGTTTTTTGTACCTACATCATGGTGATTTAAATGTTTTTTTTTTCACAATCCAAAGACAGATCTGACTTTTCAGTTTTAGAAATGCTTCATTTTCGTCTATTACGGTTTCTATTAAATTTTTCCTAGACAATACACATGCACATACACGTGCGCATATAATAGACGTACATTTTCATTAAAACAACTACCTGACGAAAAAAAAAACATTATTTCTACTTTAGGCCAAACACTGGATCAATGTGTGAAAACGTGTTGTTGAAAACCACCAAACCCCCCCCCCCCAGATACTACTATTGAATATCTTACAGCATCTACGATTATCTACTTATATTAGAGTAGCTAATCGCAAGCAGTGATTATTGATGAAACAAACAAGGCGACACCCCAATCAGAACAGAGAATCCGTTCGAAATATGATCCTGTCTATCCCAGTAGATACTGCCACTTCTGCTATTATTACGATTATATTACAATTCTACTATATTATTATTACATTATAGTTATGTGTATGCATATTATGGTTTAATTTTGATGAAACATGCTATTAAATATTCTTAAAACGAAAAATTTCAACAAAGAATTTATCACATAAATTGTACGTATGTAAGTATGTATGTGCTATGTTTTAAAAATGGTCCATTAGCCGAAACTATAAATTTTAGAGTTGTTCAATACATTCTTCGTTGATACTCTTTCTTTTTAAAATTACAGAGTACCCACACTCTGTATAGGTACATATGTATAATTATTTTGCTGCAAATCAGACAGAAATAGTCGGTTATTAGGGACACGTTCTAGATATATACGTGCAATACATTTTATTTTCACCCCTTAAAGATTGAGTTGTTGAATCAGCGCTGAATTTACACTAGGGGCTAGTGCCCAGAGCGGAAAATTCCCGTAGGAGGCAAAATTAGATGCTTGACTTTCTTTGCGCTAATAAAAATTCATAAAAAAATGTGCATTTACAAATAAAGCTGTTACTTCTTTCAATATTTGGGCAGAAAGTATTCTGATAATATTTTGTGTAGAATATGGGTAATGAGAGCGGCATTTTTATGGTGCCTAGGGCGGCATTAAGGGAAAACCCGGAACTATATTGAGTAGGTCGTCAGGATTAAATTTCAAATTTAAAAGTTACGCAAACTGCAAGTTACATGGTACGAAAAAATCTTAAGAATCGATAAATAAATATGGTGAAACTATCAACAACAAAATATTTATAAGTCCTATTGCATTCACCGGTATATGTGCATATGTATAAAGATGTAAAAATAAGTGCTATATACGTACAATCGTCTTCAGCTATTCATACATACATATCACACAAGTGGAGACTGAGACGTGTTCGGTGTAGGAATGAGTCTCTTACGTTCTGAAAATACTAATTTTGTCCTTCCTGTTCTTATTCGGAAATGCAAATTCAACTGATTTCCGTTTCAATTATTGCAAAAAAGGTTCAGAAAATAACCGTTATTTCCTGCAGCACCTAGTACCTATTCACTTTTTAGGTACGTAGTATACATATACATAATGCGTACGTTACCACCATAATACTTTCCAGGTACCTAATTTTATTATTTTTATTTATTTATTTAGAGATGTTGAATTTACTATGTAAGATTTTCACAAATATGCGTCAAACATTTTGTTTTCGTCAGACACGAGTGCTTACTATTGAAGATAAAATATACATGTTTGTACAATATGTATGTATGTAAATAGATAAAATTATGACTAGTTCGCTAGCAGTAAATAACCAAATTGAATAAACCGAATAGTGGGAATCTTTCTCATTTTTTGGTAAAATGTTTAATTAATTTAATTAACAATAAAAACAAATGCAACTTTCCTGAAGATTCTTTTACATCATGAGTACACGACCGGTTCACTGAATCGTAACCGAGAGTCTATTTTTGTGTTTAAGCGCCTCCTCTGTAAGAAAGCGTCGTTGACCTTTTGGCTATATCATTGAATAAGTACTGACTTTACGGGATGTTATCGAATCAGCTCATTTATGTCCTCATACTCATATACGTACGTATGTACGAATTACGATCCTTTGACTAAAAGTGCCTCTTTTATTTCAATTATTATTATTGTTTTTTTTTTTTTTTTATTGATACACACTAGATTATACCTCAATTTTTGTTTTTTCAGATGTACATATGTATGTTTAATTTGTAGATAATACAAATTTATTGATTTTTTGCTAAATCACTTGCCTCTGCCTGACCAGGCCAATTCTTTCTACGTTGAAAACGTCACACGAAATATTTAATAAAACCAATAGTCAGCAATATTTTCTCCTTTTTTCTGTTATGCAAAGGAAAAGAAGAATTTTTCATTTTCATAAACCCAAAAATCTTACTTTTTACAAGTTTCATTCACTTTGTCGCATTGCGTGTAGAGATACATAACGATAAATTATTATTAATCATTAGTACTGTAAGTACATTTCTTTGTATAAATCTTATTCAGTGCTCGCACTCGGTAAGAGCGCAATTCTATTTGGACACACGTTTGGGTACTTTCTACAGCATTTTTTTGTAATGCAACCAAGACCGGTTTCAAAATAAAACTTCGCAATACATTGTCGATTAAAAATCTTATTACGATTAAATTGAAAACGGAAAGTCCGCCTCGTATTAATTTATAATAACAGTAACTGTATCGGTTGCGTCGTTGTGTAAAGCAGCTAACAGGAAACTGAAAATAAGTATAATACGTATAATAATAATAATACCCTCAACATCTTTCCAATCACAATAAACCGGAGAAATGTTGTTATAAATGCACACATCCTGGACGTATAGAAATAAATACTATCGGTCAAGTCACGGTCCGATCACAGTCACGTAAAATATCATACCCAGTAGTGACATACATTTCTCATGGCATATTGATTCTGTAAGAAACGGTCAAGTCACAGTCTAGTCAATTCACCACGGTATTTCTCTCGGACGATATTTTCCGTGCCTTGATCGATAGTATGAATCGGGCTTAATTCTCACTCTGCACCTAATCGGAAACAACTATGTCATTCCCCGAAAAAACTTATCGTCACTGAATTTATAGTGAAACATTTAGCAGCAAAGTTACTGAAACTAGTATTTTATTTTATGTTATTTATCTGAACTGTTTCTTCGTATTATTAGTTTCGAACTTATCTGTTATGGCGTATTATTGCCGTTCTATTATAATTAGGTGCGATGATGTTCACACATACATATATGTATGCATATACAGATAGGTACAACTTTTTATTAATGGATTTACGTACTAACAGTAACCATACAGTGTAACGTTATACTTGTTAAATGAATAACCAAGTGCACATTTTCCTTTTGCATAAAGCCGAAGTGGCGCCAATATTAGAGTAACAGCCTACTATCTTACGCACGCATGTGGTTGTTGTGTGAAGAGTAGGTACTTATATGCTTAAACGTTGTGTATACGAACATGTAATAGTAATTATTTACTTACTACGTATTACATGTATTATACGTACACACAAACATACAACACATACTAGCACTCATGATGTATAATTGGAAATCTTTGTCACATGTAATGCATAGGTATATTTAATAATTTATTAATATACCTCCAAAGTTTGTTATATTACAACTGTTCGCCTTAATATACCTAGGTACATGTGTTTGACGATAGGTAGTTTAAGATTGTACATAATATTTTACCATTCCACAAGTTTCTTTTAAATTTGAAAATTACAAAGTTTTTAAACGTTGATAACAGCAATAATCACTGAGAAGAACTAGCTAATGCCATCCAATATCAATATCTAAATATTATTTTTAAAAAATGGTAAAATATATTTATTTATAGATAAGGTACTTAGACATTAACAGAATTTTCAAAAATATACCTCTGTTAAGTTGTCCAATTGTCCCAGCCATTCATCCAGTAATTGCTCTGGGTCTTCTTGATCAGAATCGAAGTCGGCTGGGTTC